TGAGCTACCTGGATAAATCAGCACACGTTTAACTCGAGATTTATTGATAAATACGATATTACCAGTGCATCATTGTGAGGTTATACAATGCCCTCGGCATCCTCATCGCTGATCGAAATGGTTCCCTCCGGGACATAATCTCAGGTGCATTTTTCCCTTGTGATAGATACTTTAGTGCGCTCTATCATTCGCCCTGGGGGGACATTGAACCCCTCCAATGATCATGTCGATGACGTAATGAGGCTCCTCTTGTTCGACCTCTTTGCTGTCGTCCCTGTTCCTAAAGTGGTTTTTGGCTCGATCACTCAGAAATTCTCGGAGGTGCCCGTTGTTGAACAACCGGGCAAATTATTCTCTCAAATATCTGTAATCCTCGGTCCTTTGACCATGAGTGCCGTGATACTCACACACCAAGTTAGGATCTCTTTGGATAGGGTAGAACTGCAATGTTCTGGGCCACTTGGTCTCTTTGATGCGCCCGATGGCTGACACGATGCTGGCAACATCAACGTTGAAGTTATAATCTGCTAATCTCGGTGCTTCCCTACCCCCGAGCGGCCTGTCGAAACCATTTTTGCTCATCAAACCTCGGCTACTAGGTCCTCGATCTCTTCATTTCTCGTTCCTTATAGCGTGGCACCCGAACCCATTTCCTCTTCAATTCGCATTGTATGGTTGGTACCGATCCCGGACCGGTCTTGGTTCATGATCAGCGGCTCCCTTAGACCTATCATCGGCCATGATGGGGGTAAACAGACCCATAAGGAGCTCCGAGTTGGTCGTCCTCGACCCTGATCTTTGACTGGTACCTATTGTGGATGTCGGCCCAGGTCACGCCGGGTACTCTATCAGATTTTGTTTTAGCTGTTGAGAGTCCAAGGAACTTCGGGGGTTAAGCTCCTGAGTGAATTCCTGGATGGCCCAATCATCTACAACCGAAGGTAGGTCCATCCGTCCATCTGGAACCTTGACACGAACTCCCTGAGCATCTCGTTGTCTTTTTATTTAACCTTGAAAAGGTCTAACTTTCTGTTCTCGATCTTGATGGCCCCGACATGGGCTTTTAAGCATCTGCAAGCATAGCAAAAGAGTCAATGGAATTTGGGGGTAGTGATACAATATCATTTCTCATTTGGACAAAGTCTCCCCAAACTTTTTCAGTAACACCGACTCGATTTCATCGTCTTCCAAGTCGTTCCCCTTGATTGCGCATGAATAGGAGGTCACATGCTCGTTTGGATATGTGGTTACATTATACTTGGGGATATTAGGCATACAAAACCTCTTCGGGATTGGCTTCGGTGCCGCGCTGTGGGGAAAAGGCTTCTGGATAAATTTCTTGGAATCTAACCATGGTGATCCCGAGATTTGATCGACTCTGGAATTGTATGTTTTCACCTTCTTGTCATTAGACTCAATTTTCTTCTCACCTGACTCCACCCGCTTTGTTATTAATTCAAGCATTTTCATTATCTCGGAGATGACCCCAGGCTCGACTTCAATCTATCTCTCGGTGATTTGTTCATTTCTTCGGGTGCTTTCCCTGGATTGTTCAGGCTCGACCCAGCTGGGGGCATGTCCTTAATTCTGGAGCTGCGCTATTACCGCCTGTTGAGCCTGCAATATTTTGAAGATTAGCCACAGGCTTACCCCATCATCTTCGCCTTCAAGCGCTTCTTGAGCTGTTTGTCGGGGTCCCCCGCGAACACTGTCTTCGGGATCAGTTGGCAAATTAACGTTGATAGCTACCTGCGTGTTAGCATCGACTGGATCGACAACTAGGACACCGTTAGGATCAGCAGGAGGCACCTCGTTGCTTGGCACAAAATTATTATTTTCGCCATGATGGCCAGACTCAGCGTCAACGTTGAAGTGAGCAGACTGAGAGTTCAAAATTTTTGGGCTAACCTGAAATTAAGACTTTAAACAACAAGCGTAAAATATGGTGTGTTTTGGAGATTTGTATCAGACTACCACTATTATCCTTATCCCTACGGTGGGAGCCAAACTGTTTACCCTTAAATCGGATAACAATTAAATTTATAACAGAAATAATCAAGAATACTAGATAAACGAGTTAAAGACAAACTAAACGATCAAACCAGTTGTAATGTTATGCCTAGCCCGAACCTAGGTTGAACAGTAATTTTTCCCTCAATTGGACCCTTGGTTCGAGCCCAGTTGTGAACGAAGAACAAAACAATTAAATAAGGACTTCTGCAGTAATTAGAAACCAGAAAATAAATTTATATTACTTTGATTCACGTGTTCCAATGTGTCTTACAAAAGAAAAATTTCCCCTTTATATAGTAGGAGAGTTTCATCCCTAGTACACGTCCAAAAAGGGTAAAAATCTTCCCTTCTCGTTAATTACTGATCCGTAACAAACATTGAGCGAGATATGCACCGTGATATCTGGTCAGGTACGAATATCACGGCCCTTTACCCGTCGTGTGTAACCGTTTACCATTTCTCCCAAGGTTTAAGAACTCGTTCTGGGTCCCAAGAGCTTCGCTTTATCATACCCGATGATGAACACATCATTCACATTTCGATACGAAAGGCTCCCAGCCTCGATTCCAATATCCTGCGTCCATGGCCTTCTTTTGTTTTCTTCACGGAAAAATCAGGGTATGCATTATCCTCGATTTTACCCGTATACAAAGTCAAAAACAACTTTTAATAAATATGAATTAAACCTTGAAGATTTTTTGTAGATTTTCTGGCTCCGCCATAATTATCACGAGTAGGAAAGAAATTTTTTGAGATAATGATTGTAAGAGCAGGGTCGCTCCAACTGAACAAGATGTCCTGCCTTTTTTATGTACTCGATTGTCGCATTTTCTCCCAACTTCCTGCACTCATTATTGTACCCAAAATTAGATATTCGATAGATTTTGGCCAATAAAAGCATTAATTTTGAATTCCAAAATTGCTCTGCAGCTAGGAACTTACTGTTTCATGTTATCGGACATTGCCATATTAAAAATCTTGTCGTCGTCTCCACATAAAAGGTAAATCCTCTGCGTGAAAGAGTAAACAAAGTTATTACGTAGTAAAGTATTGCCCGAGTTTTGGAAGTTTGTATAGACTCAAAGAACACTATTATCAATATCTAGGTTACTTCCTTTTTTTTTAATCGTTTTCCCCCTTGAAAGTCTTTCAACATCCCTTTACTAGGTAATTGGCTAAAAACTGATATTTTATTTATTCGGTATGAAATTGACTTATCAACTCTGATTTTTGGGCAATTTACCTGCATTCAAGAAGTCTTTTCCAGTAATGTTCTCTAAGAATCCAAAATTGGAGAGAGAAAATGAATAACGGAATGGTTTGAGGTCAATAAAAAAAAAGATGAAAACCACGAAAGATCAATATTCAAATATTAAATAGACAAAAAAATTAAAGAACTTAGATGATTTCTTCTCAATCTGGTCGTTGTGTGCGTAACAAAAACAAGACGAAGAGAAGGTTGGAAATACCTGGGAATATTTCGGGATAATAGTAGCGTCTTTGTCACTAACTACTAAAGCTTCAAGAAGTTCGGTTTTCTCCTTTCTGTTGGCAAACATAACCTGCTTTTATAGTATTTTGTTACTAAAATCATGGTATAAAAATGCAAATTTAGATTATAAATACTGCTAATTAATATAAAGAATTTGTACGCAAGTAATTTATATACACTATCCCAAGGAAATATCAAAAGATATATAGGAATAATATATCGACGGTAAAAACTTACCTGCACCAAATGTTTACACCAACTCGTATCCAACATTTTTTCGTCCTTCTTTCGTTTTCTATTCCTTATTATAATAGTCGTTCTTACATGTTGATGAGACTCAAAATTTTTCCATTCAGTTATTTTATGTTTTTATGTTATTTTTATTTTTATACACCAAATAAAGTTATTTGTCCAGACATTTTTTTTGACATCCAATTTTGACTTGACTCTTGAATTTTAATCTTTTAGGGTTGCTTTTACCACTTCCCTTCGTTTAAATTTATTTGTTCACATATGACTTGATACAATTTTTAGACATAACGGTTGAGATTAGGGGCGGAGTTAGAGCTTCAACACCGGGTTCGGCCAACTTTAGTCCAAATCATATATTTATCTTAAAAAATTCATTGAATATTACAAATTCTTACTTTAGAATCCACTAACATAAAAAATGTTAAAATCCCGAACCTAGTAACTTTAAACTATGGCTCCGCCTCTGGTTGAGATTTTAAAATAGAGTGGCTCAATATTTATTGAGAGTCACACTTTGATTTCTATGTCGCAGCGGAAAAAGCAGATGCCTGAAATCTTACGGTCTCTTACGGCATTGAAAATGAATAAAATATTTCATCTTAGAGAGTTGAAAAAAGTACAGAACCTTAGGAGAAATGCACCATTTTGTGATTATATTATAGTCAATTTAAAGAAATTAATTAAAGAAATTATACTGTAGTCAATTTAAAAAGAGAACAGTACTTACATGCATGTCATTGACCATCATACAGAATCACGTAGCTTACATAATTTTACAACAATGTAGCCTTGTATATAATTAAGTAATTAAAAGTATGTTATTTATCAACTTAATTTTTTAAACGAGCAGGTCACCTTATTCCACGTGGTATCTACACACAAAGAGATTTTAGATTTAAGTCTCAAAAAATTTCACGTGAATTTTTAGATCACCTTCAAAAGGTTTGCANCATGCTCGCTCAATTCTATGGCCCATTTGGCCAATCTCCCCGATAGATCGGGTTTATGCAGGATACCTCATAGGGGAAAGGTCGTTACCACCGATATGGGGTGGCATTAAAAATATGGTCTAAGCTTCCGTGAAGCTATAACCAACGCCAAGGCTAATTTTTCGAGGTGAGGGTACCTCGTTGCGGCGTCAATGAGAGTTTTGCTAATAATAGATCGGAGATTGCGTACCTTTATCTTCGCGGACTAATACTGCGCTTACTGCTCGAGCAACGCCATATTTGCCTAATCATCCCCCTCCTCCCCCAAATACTTCTTCGGCCTACCTCTACCTCTGTGTTGCCCTCCTACGCCGGCTTCTCACACCTCCTCACCGGAGGATCAGTGTCTCTCCTCTTCACAATCCCGAACCATCTAAGTCTTGCCTCCCGCATCTTATCCTTCACAAGGGCCACACACACCTTATCTCGAATAAGGTCATTTCTAATTTTAACTAAGCTAGTATACCACTAAACATTCTGCCTAATTTCACATATTTGTTCCAAGAAAAAGAAAATTAAAAAACAACTGTAGTTTAACTTTCCGATGAAATGATCACATGATTTAATACCTGAAAACTCGTTGACCGTTCGGGACGATCAGTAAAGGAATCTCCAAAGAAAAGTAGGTCAGGGACGTAGATAGCAAAATCAGCACCTGAAATTCTTAAGGAAAGCACTTGAAAAAGCCAAGTCAAAATTCCATTGGAAACAAATCCATGAATAAATACAACAGCAGGCTTAGGTTTGTTTAGTAATTTGTTGTTTGGGTTATGGTAATGAATGGTTTCAGTTGGAACCCAAAAATGCATAGTAGTTCCTGGTTCTATTTCCACCATTTGGGATGTCATTCCAACAGCTTTCAATACACCATGAATTATTGGTTTTATCACTGCAAATATATTTCCCATTTACTCAAATTCTTAATTTCTCCCTTTCTCTAGAGGAATTATTCTTAAGATGATAGCTGTGAGAAATTATATATACTATATTCTGTAATACTGTACATGCTAGGCTGGCTAGCGATGATATTGTACACGTATTCTTGGCGGCAAAACTGACAAAAGTCTTATCTTTTTGTGTTCCTTATCTACTACTCCCTCTCTTCCAATTGATGTGAATTTATTTGACTGGGCAAAAAATTTAAGAAAAAATAAATTTTTTTAAAATTTGTTGTCCTAAATAAGTTCAAATGGGACCCATAGTATGTGTGGTTATAATAGCTTTTCATTAAGGATATAATTGTAAGTTTAAGCTAAATTGTTTTCAAATTTAGAAAGGGATCATTCTTTTTGTAACGGATCAAAAAGGAAATAGGTTCACATAAATTGAAACGGAGGGAGTATTTATTACGATAGAATAGACTAGAATCATTTTAATTCCAACCCATTCTTCCCGAGGGTTGACCTACTTTTTTCAAATTAAATTTACGGAAAAAGGCCAAATATACCCCACATGGCTTGCCACCTCAGCGCCAGATGAATGCCACGTGGTTTGTCACCTCAGCGCCTCTAACCCATTTTATCCCTTCCTTCTAATTTGTTTCCACCACTAAAATTTTCTTCTCTTCCACCACGCTATTGCCACCATTACCACTATCATAAAAAATATTATATTTTAAATTTTAATATTTTATATATGGATTAGGGTACTGAGGTAGCATACCATGTGGCATCCAGCTCATCAAATGTCAGTGACACGTAAGATTGGATAGGCACTTTGGACAAACTTAACGGAAATTAAAGGGGTATATTTGAACCAATAATATCAGGGCCGGACCCACATAGGTTTAAGAGGGTTCAACTGAACCCGCTTAGTAAATATTTTTCACTATTTTCCTGTGGGAATTATTTTTTCAAGAGCAAATATGCTATAAGAATGAGCAGTTGAACCCGCTTAAACAAAGTTGTGCCTTGGTCGGATGGTTTGCGCGGGGTCAGCTTCTGCTATTGGTCGCGTGTTCGAGCCCTCAAGTGCATTACTTTTTGGTATTTTGTTTCAATTGGTCGAGATGCTGACAGCTTGGCTGGTCCTCCTTGTTATTAGCTTACGCTTCTTCTTCGTCTTCTTTTAATGCTTATTTTAGTTTAGTCTTTTTACATAGTTATGGAATTTTCTATATGAAATTATTAATTTAGCTTAGCTCTTTTTCTGTTTATTTTGTTGCTAACAGCTAATGCAAGTTAAATTAAAATTAATAAATAAATAGAATTTAGTATTTTAATATAGACCAAACTTATATTTGTTACAGTATAATTTGTTAAATTTTCTGAAGTTTAGTAACTTATTAAATTTTAAAGGCATATATATATTTGAAAACAGTATGGCTTGCAAAAATTTCTTAGAGCTACAGGCAAATTTTCTTTAAGGTTTTGTTAGAACCAAAGTAAAGAGCACTAGGTAAATCGTGTTTGTTTGTTAAGGCGATTATTTTTTAGGACTTCAGTATATGTTTAAATCCGTTTGTCTAAAAGTCTGGATTCGCCACTGAATAATATTACGACAGTGGTATATTTGAACCTAAAATATAACGAAGGTTATATTTAAACCTTTTCTTATAGTACAAGGGTATATTTAATCATTTGTTGTTAAATTTATTATTCTATTATATGGCGGTCCTTCATCAGATCTGAAGTTGTTAATTAGAAAAGGACTTTGACAGATACGAAAATATCCCATGGAACTTGCACAAACTTGTAACAAATTGAATGTTTAAAATTAAAGAAATTTTGAATTGTATTTATGAAATGAAACCGAGAGAGGCACTATATAGCTAGAATCGATCAGAGGATGATAACTTTTCCTCTCTGTTGGGATATATATTATTAATCATGAATTTGGTTTGTTGTATTATTTATTATGATATAATTGTTTATTCAACTTCAATAAAGTTTTAAATAGATGATATATTAGTCTGTGTCCTTTGCTTATATAGTAGATGATTTAGTGTATAGAGTTTAGCTTATACACGGAAGATTAAATCATCGATTTTTATAAGTATAAGGTTTGAGTTCACAATGTAATGATGGAATTGGACAAACCATCAGGAATGATTGTAGCACAAGATTAAATATAATTTATCTGATTATGGGAATGGTTTAATTCTAACTTTTTGTGCTAGTACATTTTATATATATTGAACGGACCAAGTAGAGATAAGTATTTTATACTGACTTAATAAAATAAACTCTCTAGCCATTAAATGTATTTATACTCTTAATGTTGATATAATTATTATTAGCTGTGTATATTATTATTGTTTTGATTTATTAAAAGGCGAGATTCTTTCGTGGGTCAATATACCTGGTAAATTGGACAATAATAATGTACATTGGCAAAGTAATAGTTAGTTGATGGAACCCATGTCTCGGTTTAGAGATTGATGATACACCTTTATGAAAGCTTATAAGTTTTCATGTGTAAACTCGGTGGTGGATTTTGTATCCGACGCATGAAATAAGTTAAGCGAAAGTTTAAAGGAAATAATTAATAAATTAAATCGTCAATAATTTAATTTAATTGATTAGTATCTAAATCTTAACATAGGGAATTACATAAGATTTAATGGATGAATTTCAAAATTGAATAAGGAGCACAATTACGAATTTTTAGTGGAACAATTCGTAATTAATTATGGTAGATATTAATTTCGAAAATTAGTCCATAACTGGAGCCTTGTTAATTAAATTCTGTGGTCCCTAGTGTGCCTGAATAATAGCAAATAAAGGAATTCTTTTTCCGGTGAAAAAGAAAACCCAGTAGGTTTTGAAAAAGGATTTTAATTAAGCCTTAAAACTTGTGTTATAAATACATAAGGTTTTCCACCTAGATGAAAAGGGAAAAAGGGGGCCGGAATTTTCAGCCTATTTTCCTAAAAATTTTGCCCACACAAAATTGCTATTTCGGATATTATTTGGGTAATTACACAATAGAAGACCCTGGAACGTTCGGAGATCGTGATCGTGCGGGTGGTGAGAATTTATTGAGTTGCTGTGGAATTGGAGGCTCACGTGATAAATGAGTTTTGTTCACGCTTCAAGAGGTAACCCGTGAAATCCCGTTTATGCTAGTTGTCTAGATTACATGTGATTTTGATACTGGGATTACTTCTGCTGTTTATTATAATCCATCACTCTCAACAAAGTCTTCGAAGATCTTCCGTATGACTTGGGAGAAATTAAAAAATAGCTAGATTTACAAGTGGTCATTCAAAAATAGCCACAATTTCAAAAGTAATCGAAATTTAGCCACTTTTCATGTAAAGATAAATCTGAACGAAAACACTGTTCAAAATCCGGAAAAATACTCCAGCATAATATGCTGGAGTTCCAGTATAATATACCGGTCCAGCATAATATACTGGAGTTTGGAGCACTGGTGCTCCAGTCTCCAGTATATTATACTGGAGCAAGCAAAGTATACCGGTCCAGCATAATATGCTGGAAGTTCATACACAGGTGCACCGAACTTCAGTATATTATGCTGGACTGGTCTCTGTTGCAGCAAAATAGTGACTATTTTCAATGACTTGGCAAAAGCTGGCTATTTTTTGAATGACCAATCCGAAAACTGGCTAGACCGTGCTATTTTAACGTATGACTTGCCAATATATAATATTGTGTTCGATAAAACAGAAATTTGAAGTCTTCGCAGATAGCTGGATTTTTAATGATTAAACTTATAAATTTAAGTACTGACTATATTAAGTACTCCCTCCAATGCTAAAAAGGAAATAGGTTCACATAAATTGAAACAGAGGGAGTATTACACTATTTAGATATTATCACTACATGTAAATTAATCTATGTGGTCTACTTTTATGAATTGCCTATGTGGAATGTGCTAAATCCTAAATCTGAATTTACAATTCTAATTGTGCTAGATCCAATCTGATCTGAGCGATGCACAGCCCTAGAACAAACTAGTAACATTTCTTTAAAAAGCCAACACAAATTATGGTGATCTAGCTGAACAGGTATTATATTAAATAATAGATAAAGCTTGCAACAGATTGTTAAAATGTCATACGTGAGGTCTTATGGCAGCTATTCAAATACAGCAGTTATAAAAATTATAAACCAGAAACAGTGAGCAACAGGTTGGGTACCTGACTAGTAATTGCCCCTACATCAATTCGTACTTATACATTCGGATTTTATAAATTTATCCTTTGTTGAAGCTCCAAAGTATAATGAAAGCCAACTCTCACTCACTCAGCCTAATTAATGGTAGATGATTACAGGGGCGGATTCAGGGAGAAGGGTGCTTCCCCAGAAAAAAGTTTAAAACTCAAAAAAGAAAAAAAAAATTACTAAAATTCTCATTTTGCAGAGGGCAATATTTTGAGATATTCTTCTTTCAGAATCTTTGATATATTCGGGTCAGTGTTATTTATGGAAGAGAAAAAAGAAATTTTGGAAGACTGAGGGAAAAGAAAATATAGTAAAAAATATATTAATGTAGAGGGATCCCTTAGTTAATGGAGTTATTAACGTGAAAGTGCTAGAAAATAAAAAAATGTGCTCTTTTTGAAATAAACAAAGCTTACAATCATTTATGAGAATATTTTTTAAAAAAGGAGCAAGTATGTAAAAATCTCTTATTTGTTTTGTTTGTTTTTGTACATAAGCCAAAATCCCTTTTGATTTTGAATCCCCTTTAGGCCCCCAAATTTGAGGAATAATATATTTATTATTTTTTCCACTTAGATAATAATGAAGAAAAAACATGGAATCTTTATTAAAAGAGAAAAACATCTTTTTTTTTTAATAGTATAAATATCTTAGAATTTTAAATTAAATTTCTCAAATCTTCATATTAGTACATAATATTTTTTGCATCAATATCCAAGGTAATATATTGGTATTAAATGGCTAATATCCTATTAATATAAATTAACCTTTACTATAATATTATTATTATTATGTGTAAATGTAAAAAACGCAACATTAAATTTTTGTATATTTGTGCTCAATTGAA